CGACTAGCTGGCGCAGCGGGTATGCCCAACGAATCAGCACATCGATATTTTTTCTACATTCAAATTGTCGCTAACAATCAATAAATGTCTCGTTGCACTGTAAAGCACCCAAAACAGTCAGCTCCAGCGCCAGTTCATCCTGCCGTTGACTGAGTGCAGATTCCACCTGCCAGCAAAAGCAAACTTTTCTTGTTAAGCTCGTCGACTGAATGGCAAATGCTGCAGCCCCCCCCCCCCCCCCCCCCCCCCCCCCCCGGCAGCCACAGCAGCAGCTGCAGGCATTGGCTTCAGCTCCGGCCTTGGCTTCGGCTTCCACTCTAACTCCGGCTGCGGCTGCGGCTGTGACTCCGCCTCGTTCTCGTTCGCCTCCTCCTTCTCCGCCTCCGCCTCTGGCTTTGGCACTGGCTCATAACTAATTACCGCCTTCATCGCAGCATTGCTGGAGCATCTCGAAACTTTTAAATTGAGTTGCGTGTCATAGTCAAAAAGTTTGCCCCCATCAATTTGCCACCCTCTAGTTCCCACTAACCACCCCCCCCCCCAACCACGCCCCGCTCCCACGGCCATAACCAAGCTGGCTGCTGCTCTTCAAACTGAATACGTGATATCCCTGGTTGCCACAATAAATCAACTTTGTCAAATTATATACATAACATACATATACATATGCATATATGTATATATATATGTATATACACACACACACACACACGCGCAAGCAGTGTGTGTGCGTGTGTGTGAACCGTAGCGTGAATACACTCAAATAAACTAATGACTACCAACTTTTTAATCCACATACTCAAAATAAAACAGCAGCACGCTAGTCGGCAATGCACAACCAAAAGATACCCTGTAAACAGCGCCAAGCACACAAGATGGCACAAAACACACACACACACACGTCGCTTGCTGTGCTTTCTCTTGCCTGTGCCCCACACTCTGGGAAATGCAGCCTTGAAGAACATCAGTGGAATTTTTCAGGACACGCAAAAGGCGTGCATAAAACAGAGCAAAAGGCTCTAGCTTTAAAAATTAGTTGTTTTTTTTTACAGGGTATGGGTAGAGGCATCCAAAAAGTAAACTATTCCTAATGTATATATACTAAACGAGAACCTACATACCCAATTAGGCGTATCTAGCTCTCATAATCTTCGAGTTTTGCCTGAAAAACTATAACTCAAAATCGATATTTATCGATATTACAATAATGGGAGTAGTTATCAATATAATAGATTGAGTTCCATTTGCTTATAACATAAGATATAAATATTTTAAATTGCAAGTCTCTAGCTTTTGGAGTTTCTGAGATCGATGGCAACAGGTAGCCGGATGCCATAAAATATGTATATCTTAAGGATCGGAGAAACCTGCTACCTACAGGAATATATATTTAGTTAGTTGATCGTCCTGATCAGGTATATATATACTTATACGCTTGCAGATGCTGCCTTTTGCCTGTTACATACTTTGACACAATCATTATACCCTTCTGTCCCTTTTCAACGGGTGCAGGGTATAACAAGGGTATAATTAAGTTGCGAGAAAAATGCATAACATATTTCCAGGACAATGAGAAAAAACATAGCATCACATTTATGAACGTTTAAAATAAACCCAAAGGATTTGTTATTTATCTACGTCGTAGCGCATCAAAATATTAAATGTGCATTATTTTCAAGCACATTTAATCAAGACGACGAATCGGGTTTGAACTAAACCGGTTTAATCTTAACCCGGTTTCTTTTTAGAAAAGGAAGAAACTAAGCTGAGCCGAAGCAGATCTGTTAAAAAAAAAGCTAGTTCGAATCCGGGTTCGCGAGCCTAACCTCAAAGCAGGACATTGATTTGAACCGTGAACTGAACCACCGAAAGATTTGTCCCGTTACGTAACGTATCACATGCAACTTAATCTAACTTAACGTAACGTATCTAGTCTAACGTATGCATAATATACTTAGCTTACGTAAAGAATAACTAAGGATTTTATAATTTATATGTAGCGAATTAAATAAAATTAACTAAACTCGATCGATAATAATCGATAGTTGCTGATATCTCTGAATGATTATTTCCAGAGATATCTAAAATACATTATAGCATGAATTGGACGGCAACATTTTGATAAAACATTAACTACATATAAATACATATTATAAATATATCTATATATAGTTAAGCGTACATATTTAATTCATTAAATTACCATATAACAAAAATGGAGTTAGAATTCAAACAGGGACAGATCAATTTATTTTCAGCTTGGCCTGAGGTATCGCACTGTCCCGACGCTTCGCCAGCGCCAATGTCCAACAGATAATCCAAAGCGGCAGGAATACGGTGCAAATGGCAAAGTAAAGCCAATTGCCATAAATCTATAACGAGAAATGAATAAATTAGAAAAGCATTTATAAATGTTACGTTTAGATAAGCCACTCACCACGGAATCGATAAGCGCAAACGTGGACGCATCCATGGCAGCTGTGGCGGCACGCAGCAGCAGTTGCTGCAACGTCAGCTCGGGAAATTGATAGAAGCTCATGATCAGAACAATGATATAGATGACCACAAGCGGATTCAGAAGCAGCGTCCAAACACGCGTCAGGCTACGCAATGTGCTATTTGCGCTACTTTTTGTATTCAGGGCAATCACCATGGGCGTCGTAAGGACCGCCACAAAGAAACCCAGTGAGAAGTTGAGCAGGCCAATGACAATCAGAGCGCAGCCATAGATGAGCAGCAGGCTAATGTGTAGCAGCTCCAAGGCACCAGGCGGCAATACCACCACGAAAGGCAACCCAAACCCAAGCACATTCAGTGCAATCAGTATGCTGGCAGTTAGCGGAGCGGCGCTCACAGGCAGCTCCAGAATGTACTGATGCAACGGCAGCACATTACCCATATAGCCGATGAACAATGCGGCAGCCAAATAGATTAATACCGAACCATAAGGCAAGGACAACTTGATCGACTCCAAGCCAGACGCCGTCTCAGTCTTGGGGTTAGCATCATCAGACTTCTGTGTCGCCTCCAGTGTGGACCATGTGAGATAAGCCTTTATAACGCTGCAGGCGGCAAGCGCCACCAGAGCGGGCATATAATCGCCAATGGAAATATAGCGATCGTTGTGCACAATCACATAGAAGAAGAAACTTTGATGAAAGCGTTCCAGCAGATTGTTGAGACTGCGCGCAATTCCCTCGATGGCCTTTAATAGCGGCACGGCCGCTGAACTGGGATTGGCCTTCACGTTGGAATTGGTAACACGCTTGGCGGCGGATATGGTCAGCGCATCGATGCGATAACGATGGAAGAGTCCATGATTACCATTGGGCACGCCCGATGATTGTGTCGAGAGCATGGCCAGTATTTGGCGCAGATTCTGCTCATAGTTTGAGAGGCTAGAACGGCGCTTTTTGCGCGGCGTCTGCTTATAGCCTGAGGTGACGCCCTCACGCGCCATTATGCGCTGCACCAAATTGAACATATCCAGATTGGGCAGCTTGCCGTTCAAGCCCTCAATCTTGACATCAATGTAATCTGCATGAAAACTAGGTAATTAATTGATTCTCCAAGCAATTAAGGTTTGCCACCGACCAATTTCGAAGTCCTGCACCTCAATGTTTAACGCAGCTTGCAGCGAACCGGCGCGTGCTGGCAAATTTCCAGCCAGTAGATACGAATTAGTGCTGTCTGGATCTCTGTCACCCTCATGGTAGGCTTCCAGCCAGGCCTGCATGCCCAGCTGCTCCTGCTCGGTTACCAGGAATATCAAATCCTTGGCCCAATAGTTTTTGCCTGCAATACAATGCTGTTAGCCTCTAACTCGAAATGCAAACAAATATTACTCACGCCTTGCGAAATCCGCAAAAGCCAACAGCAGCGGCACGCTGGAAGTTATGTCCACATGCACCGAGCTGGGCGCACGATAGGGCGCCGAGAATACAATACCCTCGGTGGAACCGATGCGCGGCGCACGCAATATGCCATAAACGTTCTTCCCATGGAACTCCTTACCGCCACCGAAGGGATAGCGTAACGTATAGTTGTGTGTGTGCGTCTCTAGGCCAAACTCTTTGAACTTGGCCAGAATCCAGGCGTGCGGCGTTGTAGACTGATGATCCTTGCGCTCGCGCTGCAATTCTTCCAACAGCTGCACGGCCAATCGATTGGCGTCTATGCGTATCTCAGGATACACGAGACCTGCAAGCACCAACAACTTGCTCAAATAACGAAACAGAAACAGTTAATTAACTCACCTGGCGACAACGCATTCTCTGATAAGTAGGTGCCATGGTTGAACTCCGGCAGGGCGAGGCACATAAACCAGATCACGCCCGCTGTGTAGAACGCGTAGCAGACCTTGCGCATATGCTTCGCCAGATTGTCCACCAGCTTATTGTGAGTCGACAGTGATGGATCAGACAACAAACCCATGGTTCTAGGGAATAGTTTCCATAAAACAATATCAAACAAAGTTTAGCCGGCACAACTAGTGCTGACACTCTTCAGCATTTACAAACGATAGTTAGCTCTGACACGCATTATGTTCAAGTATCGATAGCAACATTTGGTATTTTTTATGCATTAATTTACGGCTAGCAAGGATTTGTAGCTGTAGCCAAATTAAATAAAGCTACATATGTGTTAAAATATAATTATATATATATATATATACTATGCAAATTTGCGTATGCCATACTACTGTGCGATAGGCGATAAGCCCTCTATACGATATGGTTAAATATATCGATATTTCATCATTGGTCATTTGCCGATATTTTCATGATACAGTTGAGCTTCCAATTGAAATTATGCCTATTAAACACAAGTCAATGGGGTTAATTTGCTTGGCCTTTCAATTTGTTGCCGCCGAATACATTTGATCAAATATGCGGGCATATTAAAACTAGAAGCTTCTAAAGCGAATCAAAACTAAATGAGAAACTTAATTAACTTATTTCTTTTCTTTTTTAAGTTTTAATTACAGTTTGTCAATTTGCTTTTTTTTTATTATTTTTATTAATTGCTTAAAATCGATTCGGATTCAAAACTTAATTACCATAATCGCGATTTCAATAGATGTACCTCAAATCAAGACTCTATAAGATGTTTTGGTTTTTCATGCTTGTTAACCTCAATTAATGTAAAGACTACGAAAAAAAAAAAAATTGTTTTAAAAAAAATTACTTATGCATTAAATTGTCTACAATAGTACACTCACATCATGATCATATCGGCAACAATACGCGATATTTTGGCAATGCAAAAAAAAAAAAATATATTAAACAAAAAAAAAAAAAATTAAAGGGTATAGATAAATTTAAATGTAAGTGCTGCCGTCTAGCTATTGGAGCCGCTGGAGCGGCGGAAGAGGCGCATGTGGCTTCCAGTTGAGATAATTCAAATCGATGGTCAGCTTGGGTCGCTTAAACTGGGGCAGCTGCAGATGATCGTTGATGGTCTTGGCCGTTACACAGATAACATTCTGGCCCTTCCAGTACTTGATCATCTTCATGGATTGCAGGGTATAGATGATGTCGTCGGGCGTAATGCCGCTGGCTTCGCTCAGCTCCGCTATGCTCGTCTGTTCCGCCGAGCAGCGTCCCTTCATCAACTCCAGCAGCGTATAGGCCCAATAGCTGCGATAGCTGAGCCTGCCCAGATCGGAGAGCGGCTTCTCCGGGCTGCCAATGACGCCCTCCTTGCGCGACAGCTCATAGCTGAAGGCAATCAATAGCTTGCCATAGCCCTTGCGCTGATGCGGCGGCAACACCAGAATACAGGCCACATTATTGTTCTCGAGGGAACGCTTCTCTTTGGAGAAGTAGCCAACAATGTGGCTGCCCATCTTGTCGGTCTCGCAGAGCACATAGAAATAAAAGGGATCCATATCAAAATAGAGCACCTTATGGTCGAGAAACAGTTTGGCCATCAGGCACAGCAGCTGGCAATAGAGCGGCTGATCCTTGCCGTTCACCTCGAATATGGAGATGGTGCTCTTGCGATAGATCTCCTTGCCCGGCGGCCGGCGCACCTCGCACTCGCCCAAATGATACTTGTAGCTCCGCTCCAGACGCATGTATTTCAGGCAATATTCGCACACGTACAGAATGCGCGCCTTGCCGTACTCACCCGGAAAGGGACTAAAGTACCAGGTGTCAATTTCATAATTGCCAAATTGTAGCTTATCAATGTATTTGATTTTCGTGATGAACTCGTGCTCCTTCTCGAGCGCCGCCTGCGAGGCGCTCAGCTCTGCATGGCTCTTCTGCACATGATTAATCTCATCGTAGCGTCGCTTCTGGTAGCGCGTCATCTTTCGGTCGCTGTAATCGTACCGATTGTTCTCGCACGCAGACAAATAGTAATCCTTGTGCCCCTGTCGCTTGCGTCTCATCATGCTGCCGGAGCTCTGCTGGCTGTTGGCGCTGCTGCTGCTCGCGCTCGCGCTGGCGCTGGTGCTAGCGCTCGCACTGGCACTGGTGCTCGCGCTGGCACTGGCGCTGGCACTGGCACTGGCACTGGCACTGGCACTTGTGCTGGGCTGATCGCAGGCCAGTAGCTCGGCCGGCTCGCTGGTCACCGTTATGCCGCCGAGATCCTCCGCATTGTCCGATATGCGATGCCGGCCAACCCATTCGTCGAGGCGTCGATTCAGGCCCACATAGTGCACATAATACTCGTTGGGACTGACGCAGTTGTCGGTGACGCGCGACTGCAGCACCTGGCCGGCGTGCACGGTGCCATCGGCGCGCCTTATATAGTAGATCTTTTCCGGATTGTCGCTAATATCGAGCTTATCGATCGAGGGCTCACCGTCATCGGTTGTCTCCGTTGCGGTTACCGTTTCGCCCGATGTACTATCCTGCTCCACCAATATGACATCATCATCGTCGCTCTCGTCGCTGCTGCTGCTGCTCTCGCTGCTGTCGCTGTCGTCCTCGTCCTCATCCTCGCCTTTATCCTCGTCGCCGTCATCGTCATCGTCGTCATCGTCGTCGTCGCTGCTGCCATCCTCCTCATCCTCTTCGTCGTCGCCCTCAACGCTGCTGTTGTCCTCCTCGCTGCTGCTCGAGATGCTCTCGAATTCGTCTAGCAGCAGGGGCGGCTGCATCTGTGCCGCCACCCGTTGTTGTTGTCGCTGTCGCTGTTGTTGCTGCAGTTGTTGTTGTTGTCGTTGATGTAGCAGTTGCTGTTGCTGCAGCTGTTGTTGTTGTCGCTGCTGCTGTTGCAGGTGTTGCTGATGTTGCAGTTGTTGCTGTTGCAATTGCTGTTGCAGTTGCTGTTGCCGTTGTTGCTGCTGCAGTTGTTGCTGTTGCAGTTGTTGCTGTTGCAGTTGTTGCTGTTGCTGTTGCAGTTGTTGTTGCTGCTGCTGCTGCTGCAGCTGTTGCTGCTGCTGTTGTTGTTGCTGCTGCTGTTGTTGTTGGGCCAGTTCTGCGGCGAGTCGCTGGTGATCGTCGGCGTGCACGGATATGTAGCGTCCGCGCTTGTAGGGCGGCAGCAGATCGATGGGCTCCTCGCCATCGTCAGTCGGCGATTCGGGCGTTTCGGGCACTTCCGCTGGCGCAACCATTTCCGTTTCCGTTTCTGCTTCCACTTCACCTTCGATTTGCATTTCCGCCACGTCCACTGCCTCCTCGATGCCCGTTGCCGTTGCCATTTCCGCATCCGTATCCGCTTCCATCTCGGTTATTGGCTGGCCCTCAACCTCCATTGGCTCTTCGCCTTCAGGCAAGGCTTCCGCTGCGATCTGCTCAGTTTCCGCTGCTTTGGCTGCCTCCGTACCGGATTCGGCAACGTTTTCCACATTTTCAGCAGTCGGACCGCAGCTGTAGTCATCGTTGCCGGTCAAGTCGCTCACATCGACCACGGTGGTGGGCGAAGCCTCATCGTCCGAGTCATCGCTGGCATCGTCGGAACGTACTGCGGCCGACTCGCCGCTGTGCTCGCCGCTGCTTGAACTACTTGCGCTGCTGTTCTCCTCCTCTTCCTCCGACACGGGACTATGGTGAGCGCCCAAGTATGTTTGCGGTCGAGGCGGCATCGGTATCGCCACCGGCACCGGCACTGGGACCGGAACCGGCGCCGGCGCCTGCACCGTTTCGTCTGTTGTATCACATTGCTCGGATGCGGCACTCGTTTCATGCGACCGATCTGCCCAGCCCTCATCCCCGTCTGAGGGCTCCGTCGAGCCGCTGATGTCCAGGCTGGCATTCAGCTCGGCGGCCGCATCATCTACCGGCGTTCGTGGCGGTTTGGCGCCAATCGCATATGGATTCTCTTCGTCCTCCAATGCGGCACCATATTCACGTTCTTTTAGTTCCTCGGTGGACATTTTAATTAAATGCTTTTCACCGTGAATGTGTCCAATAGCTTAAATGAAATATTATCCATTTGTTTTGCTACGCAAAAAAAAAAAACAACACTAATTTTATAGCATAGCGATGGTACTGTACCAAGCCATCGATATATCGCTAACTATCGATTGCAGTTTCAATTGTAAGCGACGCACATGTCAATTAAAAATGCAAATATACCGTATACATATACATTCTTATAGTAATTACAATTGAAACATAATTTTTGTTTAAATTTTGAAAGTAATTTTCATTTCTATTGCGCAAAATTTGCATTTGACATGCGACCTTTGAACAGCAATAACCAGAACAGTGTTGATCAATGTCAAACGCATTTTTGGCGCAAATTTGTACAGCTGCACATGTTAACAAATACAAATACACTGCCATAAAAAACTGTGCACGTACGAATAATGATAACTGTATCTATTTATTTATGAGCGCACATTTAACATTTAACAGAATTAACACGTTTTTGACGTTTAAAAAACAATTTGTACACACAATAGATATAAATATATATATATATACCTCATACATATGTGATTAAGTTAATTAGGGACGATTCCTTATAAAATATAGTTTTTGTTTTCATTTTTTTTTTTTATAGTTATCACAAAATCAAAGAAATTATATGTTATATTATATATCTCAGAAATCACCGAAAAATTCAATGCGTTTTAAATCTTTTAAATGATTCAAAATGGCGAAACTCGTTGCTTTAAATTATTGTCTTAAAAATAGAAATATATCGTTAGTTTAAGGGAGTTCGAACCAGAAGATGGCTCAATTTCTAGAATAAACCTAGAACAAACAACTGAACCGTATTATAATTAGCCAAAATTTAAAAATAGACTATATCAAAAAAAAAAGAAAATTGAATGAGAAGGAAATTACAATTGGTGGATTGTCTGGAAGTTAAACTGCCATGACTTTGCTTACTTCTGTTCTAAATATTTACTTAGTTACTAAATAAACGTGGGAAATTATAACAAAATGCATATATGTTATTGTATAATGTTAATTTCTTAAGTTGAAGCCAAGTGTTTTTGGTTGGAATTCGCATAAATGTCTTGGTTACAATTCCATTAATTGGCTATTTATGATATTAGCCCAATATAAATGGTATACTTGAGTGTAGATAAATGTCATACATACATACAATGGGGTGCAGTATGTGCGTGCTGTAAACAATTAACAAGTAAAACAAAGAACATATATCTATATATATACATACAAATATATATATATATATATATATATATATATATATATATATATATATACATAGATATGTGTACATATATAGTGGGTAAGGTAAATGCTAAGCCATAGAGGGAACTACTCGTAAGCGTGCCATCGACAAGCTAAGCGCAAATACACTTCAAATTACATTTAAAATAAATAATTAACTAATTTACATTCATATCTTTAGCTGATACATATATCTGTATATACATGTACTAGTGCAACTGCGCGAGAATTATGCCTGCAAACTGGCACCGCTGGTACCGCTGGCACCGCTGGCACCGTTGGCACCACCAGCATGCCCATTGCCGCCCGCATTTGTATCGGGGCTATCGACGTGGATAAAGCGCCGCATGAACTGACTGCATAGATTTTGATAATCCAGCGTGACGTTGGATTTGCTGGTGCGCAACAGAATACGGCCAAAGATCGCAGCTGGAGTGATAGGGAATTCATTATTAGTTGTTGTTTTAATGCAGCATTTACCATATTCTGACCACGCACCGACATTGTTTGCCTCGTAATCGTGACGTTCGATACCCTCGCGCAGGAACATGCACAGATGCATGAACACATTACGCTTGGGTGCGCTCAGCAGCGCAATCAGCTCCATGGCCTCCGACTTGCTTCTGCTGTGCAGCAGATCCTCGACAAATGGCTCCAGCAGCGCCTGCTCCGGCAGGTCGAGCAACAGCAACAGCGCCTCGGCCGCAGTTTGTGGTGTGCCCGCTGTAAATGCAACACATCAGTTAAGCACAAATCTATCTATGAATATATATATATGCAACTGAAACATACGAAACTCATCCTCAGACCAGGTGTCCAGCCAGTCACGCACCGCATTGAATTGACTGCTGAGCGGCTGGCGGCGATCGTAGCTCTGGAAAATGCCCTTCAGCTGGTCACCTTGCTTGTGCAGATAGTCGATAAGCAGGAAAAATTCACGTGGCATTGTCACACGATACTCGGGCGTCACGTCAACCATCTAGAAAAATGAATAGGTTATTAAATGGATACATCTCAATTCCTTAAGTCTAAACTAATAATATATTATAAAACTCATCAGTGTGGTAAAGTTCAACACAAAAAAAAAAAACCGAGAAAATCTTAATTAGACTAAAGAGCTATATGGCTAAATCTATTAACTGCCTGCCTCAGGTCAGCTTTATGCAAGGCTCTATAAAGTAACATTGATAGAGTCACATGGAGGACGGAGGAGACGAATATAGAATATGTACAATGTTTATGGGGTCGGAGATGTTCTCTTCTATGCGTTACACATTTCTACAAAGTATATACTCCTACATTCTTCCGAGGTGAACTATTAGTTTTCACTCATTTTCCGCTCTAAGAGGTGAATTGAAGCTTTGTTTAAAAGACAACAGTTCACAGCTGTGGCTGGAATATCTTAACTATATCCTATAGATTAATATTAAAATGAACAAAGATTACCAGCTGCTTGATTTCGTCCTGCTTGTACTCGCCGACCGGTCGATTGGTGCGGCACATTGTCTCCATTGATAGACCAAAGCAGCTGGGCTGATATTCGCCCGTTACGGTTATGAATATATCCCGTCCGGATCGGACATGCAGTATGAGTATATCGAAATCGCATTTGCCGGGCGTATTGCAAATCTTATGAAGCAGGCCCGTTATCGAAGTTGGATCGACCAGCATGCGTACGCGTATGCTGCGCGCCGAGTCAATCATTAGGCTGTCCGATTGCGGATCCACATGGAGCCACTTCTCGCATATGTCATTTGGCGAATCCTTGACCTTAAACATAAAGTCCACCTGCTGCGGGCAATTGTTGTACACATTAAAGTCCCGCATGGCCGGCTCATTGAAGCGCACCAGCCCGAACTCAATGATGGTGCGCTCTGTGATGATCTGCGGCTGATTGTCATTCTCACGCTTGTCAACCGCCTTGAGTACCTCGCTCAGCACCAGCTTATATTTGGCCTCGTCACGTGTCTTAATCTTCACACGGAATATGGCATAGACGGGCTTGTGATCGCTCTGACGTATCTCCATTACACTATTGTAGGCCAGCTGCTCGATCCGTTTGCCCTTCCACAGCACGCGATCGCAATAGGCTGGTGCACGCTGTTTCTCGCTCGTGTCATAGGTATCGGTGCCCACATCGTATTTGTATGTGGGTGCAAATTTAATCTCGCCCTCCCTATAGCCCTTGAAGCACCTGTCATGGCTCATCTCCGTGCGCAGCTGATCGTATTGTAGCAGCAGCTCAAACGTTTGGGCATCGTTCATCGGGCCAGGCCGCTGTTGTCCATTCGGCTCCTGTATGCGATAGTTCAGATCGCCCAGCCAGAAAATATGACTGCAATTAAAGGAGAGAAGAGAGAGGTAACAAAGTTTCTCAGCATTACTGATATCCTGAAACCATAAGTTATGCACACACAATCAACGAGCTGTCGATTAGATTAGCTTGTTGCACTTACTCATGATCGTTGATGGTGCGACAGAGCAGGCCATTCTCCTCAAAGCGCATACCATCCTCAATGGCCTTGTAGTCATCGTTGCGCTCCGCCACGTAGGTCATGTGCGCGGCCAGATGCGAGTTGACAAAGCATATCTTAGCCTCGTTTAGCTGAAAGCTGACGGCAACGCCGCCCTTATTGCCCAGCGCATTGAACATGCCGCGTGCCACAGAGTTGACGCGACAGCGCACGATATGCTGACGCAGCTCCTTGCGGACAATAACTGTCAGCATAATGCCAGAGAGTCGCACCGATTGCAGCTCCTCATACTCGACACCATCGTGCACGCTCTCCACCATCTTGCGTCTGTGGCAAAAGAGTCAAGAAAGTCAACTGATTAATAGACAGAAATATATTCATAGAACAGGCTAAGTCTTGCAACTATTTAAAGGCATGTCTATGGACACAACTTTAAAATGCCATTCACAAGGCCGGAAAATGGATGAAAAACTATTGAAAACTTTTACTTCATTTTTAAAAGTCTAGCTAAGATGTTTTAGCTTGTACAGAAGTGTCTAATCCCTCAAGTTCTTATGAGCTCAGATCCGATCAGCTTCAAATTCACAAGAAAATGAATCAAGTTGTTTCTATCAAGAAATAAGTTGAAGAGAATAACACCCACGCAGGGCCACTCTCGGTTAATGCCAGCCAGTACATATATAAAATCAGACAGATTGATTAACATAAAAACGTGGAGCTTATTCCACGCATATAAGGGTGGGAAAAGAGTGATTGGTATTTAAATCGGAGGATATCAGGATTATTGAAAAATGGGACAGAAAGCGGGCGATAACATATTGAATAAACGGACTTGGACTTGGACAACTAACATCTAACAGGTATAGGCTGTTTCATAAGCCATGTAATGCCGTACTGCTCACATCTATGACAAGCACCAGAATTGATAGCCAGTTAAATGCAAGACACAGTCTACATGCTGAGTGGACACTTACATCCATTGCGCTGCATACATTTGCATCTGATTGCCATTGAGCATGGCCTTGGCCGTGGTATCCAGCTCCTGGAGTCCAATGGCATAGATATCGGGCGCCTTCTCGCCACTTGCCAGCCAAGGGCGCAGCGAATTGTTGTTATCCCAGCAGGGTCTATTATTAACGTTCCATGTGGCGCAATAGACACTGTAAAGATGCAAATTGATAAATGGCATAAATCGGGTAATTATAAACAATTGTCAGGCACACATACATAATATCCTTGTAGACAATGTATTGGCTTTGGCGCTTCTTTAGCTCCTGCTTGACTTCGCCAATCTCACGGTAATCGTCGAGCCAACGAAAATTGAGCGTCGTTTC